GATATTGTTACTTTAAATTAAAATTTTCTATTGTAAAATAATATAAAAAACTTGTGTAACATTATTTGTTAATATAACACAAGTATCCAATCAAAACGAATTTCTATCTTGCTATTTACAAAAAACACGTATCGGTATTGTTTACATTTCATTTTTCAGATTGTGCAATAAACTAATGACGTTACTTCTTAAAGGTATTTGTTTTTTTAGTTTATAATATATTGAACGTTAATGTAATGATGATAATCGAAGGAATTTTAGTGCACCAAAACATCTGATATGCCAAACTATTACGGGTTGTCTGGCTTATGCGGGTTATTATTATTACGGGTTCTCGAAAGGTTAACATTTTGGGAAGGTCGTGATAATGATAATTTGTGTACTCTCGGAGGTCGTAATGTACCGATTAATGACGCTAGGTGCTCACGGAGGGTCATGGTTTAGTATAGCAGTGTATTTTAGGAGTGTTATGTATGTAATGCATGACATCATAGGCTTTTAAAATATGCGTATATTAAATTCATGGGCTCTTTGAACTACTCTTGTTGTTAGGGCATATTTAAGCTATAAGATGGTTTTCCTTCGTCTGACACTTAAAAGAGTATAATGATAAAAAAAAGTTAATATCATATTAACTGTATTATTAACTATAATTTGTTTTATTAATTTAAAAGATTTAGAACGTTTAATTTGTTTGAATTTATCGTTGCAAATTTGTCGTGGAGTTAAATAATACAGTAAAGTGTACGTCGTAGTATAATTTACTCGAAAGAAAAAAAAATAATAATAATAGTTGACTTTTTTCTTTTTAATCGTATTAATCAAGCACTATTGAAGGGAGCGGATTCAAACACTACTCGAAACATATGGCTACTCGAAAGACAGCGTGGAAGATTTGATGTTAATTAAAGGTAAAGTTTTTTTTTTATAGTTCATAGTATATTAAATTTATGATGATACGCAAAGGATTTTGGTGCACTCAAACATCAAATATGCCAACTTACATCCTATGGCTTGTGCAATTGTCATTAATTATATGTCTTAAAAGGTTAACATTTTAGGAAAATATGATTATGATGATTAGGGAGGATGAACTCTCTTAGCATAATGTCAGAAAGATGTAATCGGTACAATAATAGCATTACATGCTTTTGGAAGTATATGAATTAACATAGCAGTGTATTTTAGGAAAGTTATGGGTGTAATGCATGACATGCATAGGCTCTTAAAGTATGCGTATGCTAAACTTATATACACTCTTTGAGCTGTGTAATGTTATTATGGCATATTTAGCCAGATATTTATCCTTCGTCTGATTTTTTAATAAGTAATTACTGTTACAAAAAATTATTATAAATATACTAATCTCATCTTCATTAATCATGTAGTTAGATACTGTTATCGAAGATTTTATAATACGTCGTTATACCAAACTCCTCTAAAACAAAAAAAATAATATTGATTATTTCTATAGTGGAGTTCTACAGTCTTATTAAACTTTTTTTTTTATTCTTTAAAATTTTTTGTATTTTTATTTTAAAATTAATAGACTTAAACAGCCAATTATATGAGAGTATTTTATATCCTTATATAGGGGCAGTCTAAAGCCGTGTGTAGTCACATGACATAGAGCCAATAAAATTGTTTGTTTGATCGACACTAATCAGCCCGACGAAGAAAAAAAAGCGAAAAAAAGTGAAAAACATTAAAATACAAGAAACAAGTGTCTAAACCTACCTTGGGGCATTAATAAAAAATGTCAGAGAGGCAATTTTACTATAACACCTACTCTCACCTTAACTCAACGAACCTAGCATCGCCCAAATATCAGTTACGTAACGGTACTTGAATTAAATATTCCGACAATTAATTTTTATATGACAAATAATTTTGTAATGATTACAAATTAATATCGATATACAATAATAAAAATTATTTTTTTTTGAATTGTAAAAATCTTTTTCGCATATTATTGGTCTTTCATATTGCAAATCGTATCGAAAATATAAAGCTCTTGAGTTTTTTCAAGAAAGTAAAACTTGTTCCGAGTGCTTAGTATGTGTTAAAGATAGTAAAAAACAGAAGTATGAAGAAAGTAATACTGTTAACTTAATTGATGTTGATAACAATGTAATTTGCGCAGAAAATATTACAGACACAATTTACAATACTTTTGTACACATGGATAATATTGACGAAAATTTAGAAATTATCCATGGGTTCTATTTGGAAATATCAATTAATTTAGATACATGGATTAATAAAATTTCTTTTGATGGTTACGATTATGTATATCATACTAAAACTGTTTCTAAAAAAAACAATATAAAGACATTTTATTACTGGTGTAACTGTCACAAAGAACTTGTTTCAAAGAGTCAAAAGCATAGTGATATTTCAAAATAGCGAAATACAGGAACATATATAACTCGATATGAATATGAAGGTTTTTGTTCAATTTCTGTTAACCAAGTTAATAATTGTGCAAATATCAAACTTAATCACAAACTACTTCATTAATGACCAAAATATACTGGTATAACTGAGCAAATTAAACAATATATACATAACTATTTACTACTTAAGGCATCAAATCTTTATCATGAAATTATATCTCAAAAACTTGATGGGTTTGAAAACTTGACTATGGAACAGGTATATGTTTGGTGGGCAAAAGAATCAGCAGTATTTTATCAGTGTCATGATGATCAATATAAATCTGCAAAGTTACTTTCAAATGAAAATAATTTTAAGATTGTGTTCATTTAGATCAACCAATGCATGTTTTTAGTTTTATAACAGAATTTTTTATTAAGTTACCCTATAAAGCATTTGAAACAATTATGGTTGATGCTACCTATAGTACAAACTGATTAAAATATAAACTTTATGCATTAATAGCAATAGTGGATAGAACAAGATTTCTGATTTTATATTGCCTTATTAAATCTGGAAAAGGACAAGATATGCATGCAGCAATAACTACATAGTTTAAATCTTTGTAGGACAATAGGCTTAAAAAAGTAAAAATAATTCTTTCTGATAAAAATTTTGCATGAATTAGTAGTAGAATTGCTATTTGGAAAGATGCACAAGTACAATTATATAAGTGGCATATGCAATAAGCAATTAAACAAAAATTTTCTTCACATGTTCAATACCAACTCTCACCTATGATCATTTAGACCAACTAGTACTAAAAGCAAGTTGAAGACTCAAGTCCAGAAGTTAACAACAACTTGAAGTTTTCTTGATATAAACTGTTGTCGATGAAGTCTTTAAATATGATACACCAAGAAGTGAGTATTTTGGACAGTTTGCAAAGAGGTCAAGCTTTTTTTAGGTCTTTTTAGGAAGACTTCCCTTTGCGTTTGGCATCCAAACTAGAGAAGTCTCTAGGAATAGCAAGTAAAAAAGAAAACTCAAGAAGTTTGGAGATAAAAAGACACAACAAACTCTTGAAAAAATTTTCTTTAGTTGGAAACCCACAGAACCAAAACTTCTCTCACCACTTTGACGCTTTCAAAACTAATTTTTAACAAAAAAATAGAAGATTAGACTATTCTTCCTCATCAAAAGATCAGTATTATTTACTACTTCTATATTTGGTAACTCTGTAATATAATACAACAAATATGTGGCTATATAAAAAGGTATTTATTCCTTATTTAGAAACATAACTCTGGTACATTGAGGATTCAGAAGGTTTTTAAGGACTTACACACCAATTAGATAAGACGAAACTAGAAGAACACATGGAGTCGATATATTTGTTATACTTTGGAATAGAATATAGATTTAAAGTTGATGTGATAAAAAGAAATTGAGATATGCAATCTAATAACAAAATCATGTGTATATAATTTTTAGCTCTTGGTACTGGTTAAAGTACATTTAATTAAGTTTTTTTTTATATCAGCTGAGTTCTATATAATTACTACGATCATATAGATAAGTATCCTGGTTAGCAGATATCAATTTGTTAATTAGTTTTTCTAATATTGTATTGTATTGTTTTTTTTCTAACCTTTTTAGTATATTTGCTTTCTTATATATTTTTTTTTAAAATATCCTCTTTCTTGTATTTTCCTTACCCTATTTTGCTTTCTAAATTTTTTTTGTTAATAAGAATTTTCTTTCAGATTGGTGATATATTATATAGAGCAGTGATCCTAACAAAGTTAGTGAGCACCTACTATAGACTCTTAGAATATAAATTCTTAGTAAATTAAAAATCTCAGACAAGGTAAAGATGAACCACTTAGGTGAGTCACACCTGGATCTTCCTTGCAGAACTTATTTTTAAATTCTTATTAAATAGATCATGCGATTCTTTATTAGTACAGACATATATAGTTTTACTAGGTAGTTTAGTCACTACAGGGATATCCTATACTGATTTAAATAATAAAAAAAGAATTACTAAAACAAAAAAAAAATAAAAAAAACAAAAACTTTTTTTACAATATAATAGTAATCTATCAAATTATAATACTAATATTGTATATCAGCAATATTTAATAATTGATCTATTATAGCAATTAATAAATAATGATACAAATACTAAAAAAAATTTTTTTTAGAAGCAGTATTACGAAAGAAGGTGTTAGTATTAATTAATATACATTTTCATTATTATTATATATTAATTCCTCTAGAAAGCAAAGAATTTATTTTAATACCAAAAGATATTTGAATACAAGCTGTTAATGAAATGTTTCAATATTGTTATCAACGTAATTTGTATCATATATGGTGTTAGTTATGGTAGAGTGGTATCACATCAATCATTGGAATCTTTGAGCACTATCTGTACATAAAATATTTTTAACAATTTGTACAACTATGATCATTGAATCTCATTGGAGGATTCTTAAAAGAGATTTTTTATTTAAATTCAACCATCCAAGACTATATCTTCTTTGTTATATTATAATTAATACAATATTGCTAAAATTATTATATCGTTATAACCTTCTTGTTAATGAAACAATTTTGTCATTTTGGAGAAAAGATTTTAAATCAGAATAGAAAATGCTTGCTAATTAAAAAGTAAGAAATTTAAATAAATATCTTACTATTTATAAGAATTGAATTTGCTCATACCTAGCATTTTTTAAAAATCAATTTTTACTTTGCAAACATTTAGTTACATCATTAGAAAATAAGAAAAATTCATTTTTTTACAAAGTTTAACAAAATAATTAGTATCTATTTATTTATTAAAGCCATTAAACTATTTGAGAAATTATTAAAAATAATTCAAATATTGTTTCTGTTGATTCTACAATTGAAGGTTTTGCAATTAATTTTGAAGCTAATTTGAATTTAAATAAGTATAATTTGAATATAAATTTGGATAAATACGATTCAAATATAGATGAATATAATTCAGAAACTAGTGAAAAAAATATAATTAACAAAGCGATTGAACTAAAAACAATATTTAAAAAGATATTATTTATTTTATTTATTTATTATTATTTTTAAATCCAATAAAATTAACTTATTTAGACCATAGAATTTATTGAAAAATCTTCAAATCTTCCTCAACAAAACAAATAATTAAATACAGTTAAAAAAAACTTTAATCTAATCAAAAAAATGGTAAAGGACTTAGAGAAATTGGAAAATACAAAAATATTAAGAAAAACATAGACAGTTATAATTTAAATATATTCTATTGGCAATAGTAATTTTTTAAAAAAAATTATATAGTAATTAAAAAATATTTCTAATTATAAAATACAGTATAGAACCACAACTTTTTCTAATGATCACTTGGACCAACCATTCCTACCAACTCAAGTTGAAGAACTCAAAGCCTGACGTCTAAAACTATCCAAAGTTTTTCTTTCTATCATTGTCGACAAAGCCTCTATCATAATATATCGAGAAGCAAGTGATAGAGAAGCGGTTTGTAGCCTGGTTCAAGCTTATTCTTTGGTGGACTCCCTCTACATTTGACATCCAAGCTAGAAGAGTTATTCTAATAATGATTTATCAAAAAAGAACTTTAGAATAGTAAAAAAAAGAAAAGCAAGAAAGAACAACTAGAAAAGTACTCTTTATGGCTAGTATCTCGCAAAAACTTTGGTTTTTTTCTTCTACTCTCATTAATATCTTGGCGAAATTTTGTCAAAAGCACTAGTTTACTCAACTAAAAGATTGTCATTGCTTATCTTTTCAAAATGGAATGTGGCTACATTGTGATATGTGAAAGATTTAAAAGGACTGTAGTACAGAATAGCCTGTTTCTAAAAATAGTATACTTGCAGTTTTTTGAAGATAATAGGGTTGTCATAACAAATAGTTTTAGAGATATATCATAGTAGTCACCAGATATATAATTTTTACATTTTCGTGCAGGTTGTAGCATATTATTTTTTTCTTGTTTAGTCTTAGATCATATAGTAGTATAGACTAAAATTAGACTCTAGATAACATATATTGATTAGTGATATAGTAGATTTATACTGAATTAGCAGCTAAGAACCTCTAGTTCTCTGTTAAGACAAAGCAACTTTGTTGTCAAGAAGTCATGGTGATGAGTGAGCCAGGTTGTAGATTAATTATATGTATATATAAATATTTACAATAAACTAGTCAGATTTAGGGTCTTGACCATGCAGTAACAACTTTGCCTTTTTTTTTTAAAAAAAAAGATAAAAACTAATACTAAAAACAAATACAAAGATAAAAGAAAGAAAAAAGAATCTGATAGATTACAATTATAAGTCTGTATTAAGCTTTAAAAAATTACAAATATTACAAGATAAATAAACTCTGTATCTAATTCTATCCTAATAATATATATATCTAGAATGCAAAAATCTATTATGAAAAAAGAAAACATTCTAAACTAAACTAGAGAATCTAGATAAAATAGTTTAGAAGTTTTAGAATATTGTTATATTGTTCATGAAAGTCAAAATATATTACTCAGATATACTGTTTTTATATATATAGTCTTTACTAAGTCTACTTTAGTGATTAAAATTGTATCAGTTTATAACTAGATATTCAGTTTAAAATATCAATCTAATTTATAATAAAAAATAGAAAATTACTAAGGATACATGTAGTAAAAATCTGTATAATATGCAAATCAAAACACCTTTAATAAAATGAAAAATTAAGCCCTACTTTGGATTAGGATAAAGGTGTATTTAGGATTGGGGCGAGTTATAGCCTACACCAAAATTTCGCAAGGAATTTTTTTTGTTAGAATCCAAAAGGTGGTTTTATAAGCGAAATTTTGAGATATAGGTAATATTTTAGAGAAAGCAATAATTTTACATTATATCTAATCATGCAACCTGATTGGCTTTCCATATATTCGTATACAAATACCCTGTATACAAATAGAAATTGTCTAAAAAATATATCAGTTTAAATTTGACTTTGTAAATAAAATCAGATTATTAGTTTTAAACTAGCTTTAAATAAAGTAGCTGTGTAATATAGTTATGCTAATACCAGAAATACAGATAATAAATTTTGTAATTATATATACTTTTTTAATATATTATAAAGCTTTTGTTATGCAAAACTCTTTCTGTAAATCCTTTACACAAACTTAAATAAAAATTTGTGCATCATAAAATTGCTTATATCTCAATAAT